CTTCCGAAAGGCACAGACCCCGAGTCTCGGGCATGTGATGGTATCCCTGTGAAAACAAGAAACTCATTCATAAGTGTATGATCAAGAACTCATAACCAAAACAGAAAAAAAAACAAGATCTGTGAGTGGTGTTATTCACATTCTTCTCCCCGACTATAGCTTCATTGAGAGCCTCTCTTTGAACAAGAAGCATAGGGATTTGCTGATCTAGTTTCATATACATTCCTTCGTAATAGTCTCTAATGGCGTGGTAAAGAGGCTGACAATCGCCCGTGTCCATTACGGCGGTCTCCATGCACTCGAGACACAAACTTCTCCCGTCTTCTAAGGCGTAGTATTTCACATCCCGTGACTTCAAAACACAATAGAGAACACAAATGGGCATTAGCATAAAAGAAAAGACTCAAAATTTCCAGATGGGTGTGTGTGTATATATGTATATATACCTCCAAACGTTCACAACTGCAGCATCGGGCTGTGTTATCGTATTCGTGAGAAGGGCAATACTTCTGGTTCCAGAACGGGTGACATCGATACTCGATCAAGCCAGCTTCGTTAGTCGGAATCTGTAAAACAATCCGACGAGAAGTTGTTAAAATCGCCGAAAAATGTCAAGGAAGATCAGAGTTTAGAATGTAAGAAATATTAAAAGCTTACAAATTGGTGGCAGACTTCACATTTGGGATGTGTCAACTTTTTGAAACAAAGCTTGTGATAAGGCTTCGTTCCTGATAGAGAGAACTTGGATATATATATAGACAGAGGAAAAAAGAACAGAATCTCAGTTATGTACGTATACATATACATATACATATACATATATGTATAGTATGTATATATATAAGCACCTCATGCTCGGTGATGGGGTAACCACAAGAATGACAACGGAAGCATTCTGGATGAAAGAACGTTCCCATGCAGCCTAGATAGTTCCCATGCCCGATATCCCGATGACATCCGCCACATATTCTGATCATACATTATAATAATTAAGTCCTCCATATACTATAATTAGAGGATGTAATAATATTTATATATATATATAGTACCTATGTCTTCGTCTATATTGATACGAAGATTCATAAGGTGGGACGAACGGAGGATTCAAACCGCCACCCCGAAACGACCTCGGGAAATCTTGATAATCTTGATCCCTTTGCCAACCATATCCTGTGTATATATATATTACGAGGTGTAACAAAAAGAGACGGTGAAAATATATACCATGTGGTCGTCGTTTCATGTCATCGTCTTGGGATCGTGCAATTGCTCGGTCGAGTTCCTCTTTTTCTCTTGCAGCTCTTGATCGATCATCCTAATTATGAACATTAAAAGAAATTTAATTTGGAAAATAACTAACGTCTCAATTTCGATATTTATAACCAAACCAAACTAGATTAAATAGCATATATGTGTGTGTGTATGTATATATATATATATAAAAACATCCCATGCGTGTTCCACTATACATTGGGAACATATATGAAGCATAAATTTAACTTAATCGCCATTGATTATTAATCTCAAGTTTTATACTGCCTATAAAAAATAAAAAATAGAGAGAAACGTCAAAAGGGTGAAATTGGTGAAAAAGATAAATAAAGGATATAAGAAAATATATATAATTATTTTGAAACATATAATATATTTATGGACAGATACTCTCCAAAGAACGGAGTTATTAATTGAATAATTTCCACAAAACAATTCATTACGTTTTTGCAATTTTCCTAAAAAAAAAGAAGCATATTAATTAACCACATCTATATATATATAAGTTTGTTTTTCTTATAGAAAATATAATGTTGTAAAGGAGATTATTACCAAAGATCGAGGAGGGAGAGGGAAGACCATGTTCTCGTCTTCTTGGAACTGGGGAAGATGGCTGTTCGTATCTGAGGCTCCTCGTCCCCCTCGGCTCGACGATGAGCCGCCATTGCTGTCGAACATTTTACTTATCCATTTCATCAACCCCCATTTCTTCTCCGTATGTGATGATGATGATGATGATGATGATGACGACGACCCAACATCCCCTGCTTTTTTTGTCATTATTATTCGTGTCCTTAATTGACGTATTTTTATAAAATAATTCAACACATCCATCCCCTTTTATAGACCGATCTAAAAAATTTGTTTAGTGGAAGCACAAGAATAAACAATTTACTCTTTCC